AGCGTCCGATTTTGTCTACGGTGAGTATCTGTGGCGAAGCACCGAAAGAGAAAGCAGCACAGCAAAAAAACATCTTCAGAATGAGGGCCTACAATGACCTATTGCTGCGATAGATCGGGTTCACGACAATCTCTTACAGTCATGTGATACTCGATAAAGTGGTATTCTGACCCTCATTCGGTTTCTCTGCGGCACCAACTGGATCCTCTGAAGTTCCTGTGCGGTGTTAGCTGTGCCGGACCCCCCACCCGGAAGTAGGATGATTAACGCGACTACGAAAATCATATGGTGCTGTTGGTCTCGAGCTTTGATGAGCAACAGACTGCAGTCACACGAACGAAAAGTCGTCAAATCGGTCGGCTCATCAAAAAACGATATGACAATCGAAACTTTTTCAAGCTGCGTCCATGGGCAGAAGGTATCCTTCAGATGAACAGACAGTCTGCTATTTTGGTGTCAATAAGCAAGCAAATGCGAATACTGACTAGTAGTACAAAAAAACCCAACAATCGTAGTAGTTATTTAATTAGGACAGTGACATAAATGAACTAACAAATAAAACAGGGTGTGAGGTTAGAGTTGTACACAGTATAACAGAACCACGGCACAGAATTGACATTTCAGAGGTCAGTGACGTTATCGTTTTCGCTTGGAGCTCACTTTAGAGCTAACTGCAATTGCCACACAGATACAGTTAGCAGAAAGCGCTACCTACAGAGATGGGAAACATTGGTGTGTCCATTTACATCTCACTAATAGTGGCCTGCTAATAGTACATCGATTCTGGATGATGCCATGTCTGCGGCTTAAACTTGGGTATATTAGTCCAATATATGTTTCAGGTTCAAATTGACATGAGCGGACGGGCTCAATATGAATACCCAGTAAAGTGAATGGCGTGTACGTGGAGTCAGGCTAGGACTGGTTGACGAGCTATGACTAATGGTTGCTCGCATTTGTATTCTTTGAGATAATATAAAGCTATCGGTTTGGATCATTCGTTGGCTTCAAGATTGTGAGAATAATCTAACCGGAGACATTATAAGCTGTCCGTACGTGGAACAATTTACGTAGTGGATGTTAATACTGGCATGCATCCTAACAATGGTCGGTCCGTGTTCTTATGCAATTAAGGATACGACGCTGTCTTTAGTGTACGATAACGCTAACGCGTAAGCGTTAGTAAGAAAAACCAATAAAGGATAGTAGAGCGAAACAGTAGTCACGAAAGGAAAGACAAAGAAACCAGTACTGGTTTTTATGTAAAAACTAATGATCGCGTGTGCGCTTTACCTAAAGCTCTATAACGGTTATTTCTGACAGACACTCTAACTGCCCTCAATCTACTCAAAACCTGCAGGATAACAAAAGCCCGAATCCAGTCTAATGAATACGATCAACTGCGACCACACGGGCTGATACTCTAGCCAACTCAATTAGTATGCAGGCCTGACCAATCCACACCGGTCGCGAGGAAAAGGCGTTTAAATGTTTGTATAACCTGGCTAGTCAATGCCCTTGCAATTAGAGAAGTAAAACAATTCTCTTGTATTTCGATAAAATAGAGACTATAAAGCTTTTCCCCTACGTATATTTTTTACAAAATCTCATTTTTGTGCTCACCTTTTTCCGAACACACAATTTTGAGGACGTACCTTAAACGTACATTCATGGGCTATCTTCCAGAGGTAACTGATGTCTTGATGCACGAATTCCTATAATAATTATGTGCTAATGCGAGGATTCCTGCGCGTGGTCGACTGTATGTACCAGACTACATTACGTCTGAAGATCTAGTAACTATCATTATTGCTTTGGACCCGAGTCGGCACTCCATTCGGACGTCCACTGACCCTGCTAGCACAATCCCCGGATTGGACGGGGCTGGCGACGGGGGAATACG